CAGAGAATCAAGAAGTTAGAGGCAATGGTTACAAGCCTTGATGATAAAATTCGGAATATGGATGGAGAAATGAAAGAGAATGAAACACTCAGAGAACAAATAAGATCTTTGGAGGAAGCAAATAAAGCACAAGGGCAGGAGAGAAAGGAACTAGAAAAAAGAATAAAGAAGCTGGAAGGGGAAAAGAGTCAACTAGAATCTAGAATTTCTAAACAAGAAGATAAAAACAAACAGCTGAATGACAACCTAAAGAAATTAGATGCTAGTTCACTGCTCTCTTCTGAGAGAGACGAGATTGCTGCTTGGGATGTCCAGATTAAGGAAAACATTGAACAGTTCAGAAAAGAGTTCCAGGAGCTGAATATGGAAAATGATGCCATGAAAACTTCCTTTGCTGATGCACTAAAGGGGAATGTGGCAGTAAAAGAGGCTGTAAAGGTGGTGGCACTGGAAAACATACAAACAGTTGACTATAAAGAGACAGTAATCGAAAAAATGAAAGACGTTGTGATGGAAAGGGCAAACCCACTCATCAGACAGGCACTTGATAAAGAGAAGACAGTGGTAATCTCAGGCATAAGTGAATCCCAGGTGCCAACATGGCAGGGGAGACTTGAAGAAAATAAAGCTAGGGTTGTAGACCTGATAAGAAAGCTTGGAGTAGTATGTGGTCATGAGGATATTGTAAACATACACCAACTAGGTAAATATTCGAGGGAAGGAAAGCCGAGACCATCAAAAGTAACCTTTGAGAGAGGGGAAACATGTAGGGAAATATTGTTGAGAAAAACAAGTCTAAAAGACCTTCAAGAATTCAAAGAAGTGTTCATTAGACGATACAGAACACAGGAAGAGATGGGAAAGATGAAAAACTTGTTGCAAGAGGCAAGAAGGTTAAATGATGAAAGAAACGAAGAAGAGAAGAAAAATTTTCGTTACAGAGTACTTCCAGACAAAGGGGAGATAAAGAAGATAATGACAGAAGATCAGGGGATGGGGCCTCATTAAGACTGTTATACACAAATGCTGATGGATTAGCTGGTAAGGCAGTAGAATTAAAAGATAGGATTCACAACAGTAAGGCAGATATAGTAGCAATTACAGAGACTAAGTTGAGTGAGGACATAAACAGTGTCACAGTTTTTCCTAAGGGCTTCAGAATACTAAGGGTTGAAAGATCTTAGAGGACTGGTGGAGGGATAGCATTGCTCATAAGTGAGAGGATTCAAGTTGAAGAAATAAACTTGGCTATAGAAAGCGAGTTCAAGGAATTTCTTGTTGCTCGCATAAATACTGGGTCAGAGAGCATTATAATAACTGTTGTATACAACCCACCAAGGAACCAAAATAGGCTTGAAGTTTATGAGGAAAGTCATATAGGTACTATTGAAGTCATAAACTCAGTTGTTAACATGGCACGGGAAAAAAAGTGTAGGATTCTGATTATGGGAGACTTTAATCATAAAGAGATAGATTGGATAAATCTTGACCCACACAGTGGTGAGGACTCATTCGGGGCAAGATTCCTAGATTGCGTACAAGGGAATTTCCTACACCAACATGTAATGGAACCAACAAGGGCCAGGGGTGGGGATGAGCCATCACTACTTGATCTAGTGTTCACAGATAATGTGTTGGATATTGAAAATATTGAGTATGAACCACCAGTTGGAAAGAGTGACCACTGTGTGTTGTTGATGGAGTATATCATTGAAGATATTCTTCCTGAGAGTAGAGGCACTGAGGACATGAGGAGGAACTATCCGAAAGGAGATTACATCAAAATGAATGAGCTTTTTGCAGTTATTGACTGGAGAACCTTATTTTACAACAAATCTGTACAAGAAATGTATGACATCTTTTGTGAGAAATATGGGAAGATAGTAGATTGCTGCATACCTGTCACCAAAGTAGGTGTAATTCATGCCAGAGAGAAATGGTTCGATAATGGGTGTAAAACAGCTAAGGAGTGGAGAGACAAATGCTGGAAAAGGTATAGGAGGAGAAAAAACATAAATGCCTGGCAAACCTACAAAAGAGCAAGAAATGACTACCTAAGTAAAAGGAGAGAGGCAGAGAGAGATTATGAGAGGGACATCACCAGGAAGGCTAAAGAAAATCACAAGCTTTTCCACAGCTTTATCAGAGGAAAACTGAAAGTAAAAGAACAGGTTTTAAGGCTAAAGAGAGCGGATGGAAGCATCACTGAGACGGATGAAGAGATCTGCAAAGAATTGAACAAGGAGTTTCAGTCAGTATTTACAGTAGAAAATACCCCACCCCCTCAGATTGCAGTGATAGAAGCTCAAGGGCCGGTATTAGAGAACATCAACCTTACATCCACAGAGGTATGCAAAGCGCTGATGGATTTAGATGTTCATAAAGCTACAGGTCCTGATGACATATCCCCTCATGTGCTTAATAAATGCGCAAACACAATATCAGTGGCACTAAGTATCATATTTAAGGAGTCACTGGAGTCGGGGGAGATTCCAAGATG